ATATCTAAGGGAGAGGATGGATACAGTTGAGCAGCAAAATTATTATCAAGGCGATCTCTTAATGTTTTCCTGTTGGTTAGGTGGCATGATTTTGAAAGCTACGCGATAAATAGACAAATTGAGGATATTTTCAGCAGGTAGAAACCTGGAGACGAACTAACCTTCTATTGTACATTATTGGTAGTCCTTGTCTTAGTTGGCTATGTCTTAGTTGGCTATAATTTCTATTCTTAAACTAGATTATCTTTTAATTGTTTTAATTAACTAGTATAGCGCACCTGTTTTGCAAGAGAGCATCCATGTTTTTTTATGTTTTTCAATTCTTTTGTTGCCTACAAAAAATGAAATCACTTGTATAGCAATATAAAATCTGAACAATTATAATTTTATTTAAATGAATAAATTGTACGATAAAACTGTATATAAATATCGGTATGATCAATTATAGCTTGGATAATTATTACAATTTATTTATAATTTATTAAAATAATTAATATAATATATTAAATAGTTTTTTCTCCTTTAAATATAATAATATTATACTTGGCATAATTATAATACTATTAGTAAGTACATTTTAATTTAATAATTAGTTTATTACACTATAAGTAAATAATTTACTGAATTGTATAATTATTAAATTACAGCATAATTTATTAATTCAAAAATACTATTAAAATCACTATACTATTAATACTATTACAATTACAATAAATACGAATTGTTTTTTATATTATTATCATATTTTTGAAAGGCTAATAAGATATAAGGTAACATGTAGTCCTCCATAAGAGGTGAAACCCAAAGTTGTAAGGCATAATCCTAATGAATTTTTGTTATTTCTATTTTTTCTAGAATTTTAAATATTATGTGAAGATATAGTAAGGATAAATTTCAAATTTTCTATTAAATAACATAATTAAATAATAAAACAATAGTGTGACCAAAGGTTTTGGAAAAGTGTGGAGTTGTATAATTAATCAAATGTTATATATAATTAGTAAATAATTAATTACAATTAATGACATATTTGAGAATTATCAAACTTAAAAGGACAAAAATGAAAATCAAAAGTTTTGACAAGGCTATACTCTTTTATATGTAGTATAGATTTTCATAAGCCACTAAAGTACCTAGTTCAGATAATTCAATTTTGTGTGCACCAATTCTATGGGGGCCTCAATGCATAAATTGACTTCTTGTTGATCATGTCAACAAAGTATTTCCAATTTCTGATTTCACATTAAAATTAGAAGAATATTTTTGTCGCTCATTAAGAATGAACATTTTATTATAGAGTACATGAATTCGGATATGTGATCCAGCTTCAAGACCGAGGAGGTAAATACATAGGACGAACTTGAGAGTCAGGGGCGGCAAATGGGTCGACCCGACCCGATCAATATAAAAATTGACCCTACTCGATCTATTAAATAATCGGGTCAACCCGTTTATTAAACGGGTTACCCACCGACCCGAGTGACCTATTTAATTGTTTTATAATTTTCATGTATTTAACATAGAGTTTTTGATCAAAGTTTTTATGATCCTACTATCATTCATATGTTTTATACTATTTAGAAGTATAGATATTTTTGGGTGTTTTTGTAAAATTTGAATTTTGAGCGTGTTTTTTATAAATTTTAAAAGTTTTAGAGTGTTTTATGCAAATATGATTTTTTCTGATTTATAAACTTTACACTCTTCGTAAGTTTAAACTTTCGGGTTTTTAAAAAATTTTGAGTTTTAGGGTGTTTTTTGTAATTTTTGAAGCTTTTAGGGTGTTTTATGCAAACACCAAAATTTTCACATTGCTGTTTATAAGCAATAAATTTTGTACTTTTCATAAGTTTTCATATTTCTAGTATATATTTCTATAGAATTTCACCTTTTCACTGTGTATTTTATAATTTTGAAACTTTTAGGGTGTTTTTTTTGCAAAAATTAAGATTTTTATGTCGCTGTCCATAAGTTATAGATTTTGTATTATTTATAATTTTTGATATTTATGTGGTGTGTTTCTGTGAGATTTGGCTTTTTTAAGGTTTTTCATTTCCTTAGACTTTGAATCCAAATTCCCTTCATCAGTTCAATACACTCACCCATCCTCTTGTTCAGATCATGACTTCCTCATCTTAGATACAACCTGTCTCCCTCCTAAACCCCCTTTTAGAATGGAAAAGGTCTGGTTCTCCCACCCTTCTTTCTCATCCTTTGTTTCTTCCTGCTGGAACTGCTGGAATAGTAATAATAATTTGCCCTTGAACATCCAATATAAATTATGTAATAATATTGTAATGTTAAAATAGTAATAATAATTTGCCCTTGAACATCCAATATAAATTATGTAATAATATTGTAATGTTAATAAATTTAATTGTTGCACATAATTTGGTTGAACATCCAATATAAATTATGTAATAATATTGTAATGTTAATAAATTTAATTGTTGCACATAATTTGAGTATTATTTATATAATTGTTATATATATCCTTAGAAGTTATTTTGTTAGTTCATGCACTGTGATGGTCACTTGCTTGGAGATATGATCTAACTTAGAAATTTCTTAAATTTGTGCTTAAGCTATAACTAGTAAAGGATAACTTTGTTATAACAGGTTATTATGCATGACACCGATATATGAGATATGGTGGTGGGTCTCAACCATCGGGAATGGAGATTCTCCGGGTGTATGTCATAAGCACACATTATGATGTGTGTAGCACTACGGGTGTATGTCATAAGCACACATTATGATGTGTGTAGCACTAGACCGTATTTGAATTCTCTAGGATGAATCACCTAAGAGATAGAGAGTTCAAATTGTTACATGGTCCCTTTGACTTGATGATATTGTCATTTTCAATTTGATAATTTAGTATGCTTTGATGTGATGGTTAAGCTTGTTTAGCAAGCGCTACACAACCTGAAACATTGGGTTGCTAAATTTCATTTAGGAAAATGATGGATGTCTAGATAGGATCCAGTATGCTCATTATGATGAGTTAATTTATTATGCATTCCCATGAAGCTATTAAATTCCTGCCGGCAGGTGATTTTATAAATATTTTTAAAAAATTTACCTTCTTATAAAAATAAAATATTTTGATGTTTCAAAATGATTTTTATTTATGTTCATAGGAATTGCAAATTTTAGGCATGAGCAAATATGTGAGTTGTCCTGCTTAAAAGAGTTGCCTAAAATAAATGATACTGGAAGGGAGTGAATGTAAGATATTATTTATTAATAATTAATCCCATATTATGAAAGCTTTTATGAACAATTGGTCGGATAGGGATTTGATTGTTAAATTAAAATTATTAATTTGATTAATAATTGGTTCTCGATATGGGACCCAATTGGTCTCACTAATGTCATTAGAAGAGGTATACATGCAATGCAATTCTATTTCTATCCTTAATTGTTATGGATAAAGTTTTTGAATAAATCTATTTCTATCCTTAATTGTTATGGATAAAGTTTTTGAACAAATCTATTCTATCCTTAATTGTTATGGATAGAGTTCTAGATAGTTATGAATTGTTTAAAGTTAAAATCTCTAAGACTAGTGTAATCCTATAAATAGGGTTCATATGTAGCCTTATGAGAGGAGATAGATGAGATTGAAAATCTTATGAAGATAATATGAAGAAATAGATTTTTGAGAACCTATCTCTCAGTATTGCTCCTCTACGGTGACGGGTGGATTTCAATTGGAGGCTTTTTCTCTTGAGGAAGCTATTTTGGATTGATCTCGGGACAGATTATTGTAGAAATTCGGAAAGCATTTCAGGTATTCTTCTAATATTTAATTAATTTTGATTAATAGTCATGATATGCTTTTTCCGCTGCGTTGTATGTCATGATTCCAACAGGAACAGCTTTTCTTGCAGAGGAAACCCAGTCCAATCCTTTCACCTGAAACTCAAAATCCTTAGAAGAAGACTCAAGAGATGGAGGAGGAATATCTTTGGCTCAAGCAACTCAATCAAAACCTCTTATCTTAACTCAATCCAATCCCTCAACATCTTAGAAGAAAGCAGACCCCTCCTTGCCTCAGAAATCAATCTCAGAAAATCCCTCAGAAACAATCTCTCCTCTCTTGCCAAGCAGGAAGAAATCTACTAGAAACAAAGGTCCAGAATCCAATGGCTGCAAGAGGGTGATTCTAATACCTCCTTCTTCCACAAAATAGCCTCTCACCACAGAAGGAAAAACTTCATCCCCCACATCTCAGTCAACAACACCCTTACCTTCTCTGAGGAAGAGAAAAAACAGGCTTTCTTCCAATTCTTCTCAAACCTGTTCAAAGCTCAGCCCAACAACTCTGTCTAGTTAGATTGGAGCCACATTTACCCTCATTCAAACCCTCTTCTCCTTTCCTTAGACAACCCTTTCTCAGAGCTAGAAATCCGAGCTGCTGTCTTTGGTCTTCACCCAGATAAAGCCTCTGGTCCAGATGGATTCTCCATCCTATTCTATCAATCCTTTTGGGATGTTCTCAAACCTGACATCCACCTCT